ATATATATATATATATATATATATATATATATATATATATATATATATATATATATATATATATATATATATATATATATATATATATATATATATATATATATATATATATATATATATATATATATATATATATATATATATATATATATATATATATATATATATATATATATATATATACATACATACAGTTGAAGTCAGAATTATTCGCCCCCCTTTGATTTTTGTTTTCTTTTTTAAATATTTCCTAACAGAGCAAAGATATTTTCACATTATGTCTGATAATATTTTTTTCTTCTGGAAAGTCTTATTTGTTTTATTTCGGCTAGAATAAAAGCAGTTTTAAATTTTTTTAAATAAATTTTTAGGTCAAAATTATTAGCCCCTTTAAGTTATATTTTTTTCGATAGTCCACAGAACAAACCATCGTTATACAACAACTTGCCTAAATACCCTAACCTGCCTAGTTAACATAATTAACCACCTGGTAAAGATAAACTTAATCAGTTATTAGAAAATAGTTATTAACACTATTATGTTATGAAATGTGTTGAAGAAATCTGCTCTCTGTTAAACAGAATTGGGCAAAAAATAAACAGGGGGGCTAATAATTCAAGGGGGCTAATATTTTGACTTCAACTGTATATATAATATAAATATTGTAATGTCGTAATGTCAGATTTGTCCAGTATTGTGCAGTCCCAGTGACTGTTTATCCTCCTTCAGTCTCCACTCCAGCCTCTGGCTGAACCCGTCCGCTTCATCTGCATGCTCAACCCGAGACCAGCGTTCACCTTTTGGAAACACACGCCGTTAAATGATTGAGCAGAGCGGGAGGAAATAAGAGACGAAAATCACCCACACCTCCTTACAGGCGGTCGCTTTAGACTCCCACTCACTCCTCTCTGGAGTAAAAAAAATGCTTCATGGAAAGGCCAAGATGCACATCAATTTTATAAATGCGCATAAAAGGCATAGTGTGCGCACAACTGAGTAGGATAAACTTTATATCTGATGCAAGAAAATGCATGAACTATAATGGAAACAGATTTAGTGAGTAAACTCACTAGTCTTCATCAGTGTGCATGCTGTGATGGAGTTTCTGACAGATGCTGATCAGATATAAGTGTGTGTGTGTGTGAGGTCAGTAATGTTGGTCTGCACACTCTGTGTGAGCTGTCACTGGGGTACACATTTTTACCTAAAATGTCCATATTAATACCTTAAGGGTGCATATTAGTGCCTAAAAAGTACAAAAGTGTTCCTTTAAAAAAAAAATTAGGTGCTAATATATACTAATATATCTATATTTTAACGTACAATCGAGTACTTTTTGGAAAGGTACCACCCCAGTGACAGCTCGCAGACCTTTATTTCTGAGAGTGCAGATATAAATGTTTGTGTGAGGGTCTTTGCATAATGTTGGTTTCCAGCTTTCCACTATTGCAGATGTGAGATGTTGTTGTGCTGATTGTAAAAGGCCTCAGCCCTCCGTCAGTCCGTCATCACAGTGCTTCAGTATTATTCTTCTTTTATTAATATTCCCTCCAGAACTGTCTTGATCATCTGTCTGCGCTCCCGTCTCACTCCTCCAAAAGCCACCGCGTTCATTACGTTTCGTCTTCGTTTTCTTTGGAGCAACTCCCTTATTAGAGAAATACAAACACCACAGTGGCAATATCTGCATTATCTGTGCATGTTTATCATCAGGAAGTGATGATTTTGTTGTAAACGCTGCTTCATTCACAGATGTTTTATGTGTTATTCCAGATTTGGGAGGCACAGCTAGTGTCAGCGATGCAGCTATTGTCTGTTGAGTTATTCCTCATACGTCTACCTGCTGTGCTCTCTCCAACACGGGTCTTTTCTCTTGACCGTGCGGCGGTCCTCGCTTGATTCATTCCATTGTTCTTCATGTGCCGTGATCTACAGCCCATTGAACCACAGCGCAACAATGCATCCATTCAGGCTGTCCTCAAGGCCACCCAAACCCCATATGGCAGCGTGAGGATGCTGGGAATTTCCTCCATATTTTTTCAATCCTGACCACAAATATTCGCTCATGTCTTTGGCAGATAGTTTAGTGGTTCTGCTTTCTGTCTTGTGTGGCATTGCTTCACCAGCTCTTCTCTGATCACAGGAGGGTTTTTTTTTAATCCCGGTCCAGCGGCCGCCGCGGTCTTATATTCCAGTCCCTGTGAATGAAGGACTTTGCTTTGATAACTCGACCTGTTTACCCGACAGTGTCTCCGGGGCAGGACAGCTTTGATCAGCTCCAAATAAACTGACCAGTAAGGGAAATATTTAGCATCTGTGATCCCAGCCGGCCTCCTCTGCTTTCCCCCCAGTGCTTTTTCATTTGTACACTCAATAAAATGAGTTGTGCTGCTTGTACCTTATTGAAAATGAGTTGAAGCAACACAATCCTTAAGTTGTCTTCAGGACAACTTGATTGTTTTATGTTCAGTCAGTTTTATGTTCATGGAAGCACTTTGATTGACTCTCTGCCTTTGTATGTGTCATCAGAGGGGGAAAGCCCCGCCCACTAGTGCCCATCTATCCCTCATTAGCATAGGATGTCATTTGAATTTAAAGCGACAGCCACCAAAACGGCACAATTAGGATCAAAGCCTAAAAGGGGGAGCTTCAAACATTATTTGTGGGGTATCTTGAGCTGAAACAACAGCGTCAAGTAGAAAATTGTTTAATTCAATTGTTTATAATCAGACTTGATAAAAACAGTCTGCTAGATTGGCATTCTCCCTTTGTACGTCAGAGGCTGAAAGCAACTGTCCCATAGACTTCCATTGTAAAAGACTGTCATTGACTTAACATTGGATCGACCTTTGTGAGCTCATATCTCTGCATTAGACTGGCCCACATACTAGAGTCTGTCCTCATTTAACTCAGTCTAGCCCGCAGCCAATCACTGATGAGCTTTAAACTTACTATCAACACCCTAATAACCACTTATAACACCCTAGCAACTGTCCCATATACTGTGACTAGGTGTTCTAACACATGCCAATAACTCGAACATGCTAATCTTGCTAGAAATATGCTAGTGACATGCTAGTCATGCTAGCACTTGCTAGTTCATGCTAACAACATGCCAATTCATGCTAAAAACTTGCTAATTCATGCTAGAATCATGCTAGAGTCATGCCAACAACATGCTGTCATGCTAGAAACATTTTAACATGCTAATACATGCAAGAATCAGGCCAACCCCTGCTAAAAAATCCAGCTTAAACCAGCCTAGGCTGGTTGGCTGGTTTTAGCTGGTCAACCAGGCTGGTTTTAGAGGGGTTTTGGCCACTTCCAGGCTGGTTTCCAGCCATTTCCAGCCTGGTCTTAGCTGGTCAGACTGGAAAGTGACAAGCTAAAACCAGCTAAAACCAGCTTGACCAGCCTGGTTTAAGCTGGACATAGCTGGTTTTGGCTGGGCTCCCAGCCTGCTAGGCTGCTTTAAGCTGGATTTAGCTGGTCATTTTCCAGCCTGACCAGCT